GTGTATTTGCCCAGCTGAAAGAAGTACAAATTTCACTGAAAAGTGAGACTTTTGCAAGGTTCACGCCTTTTACTATACATTCTATTGTTCTGTCATTACCGCTGTTGCTCGATTTTTCCCGAATCAGTCGGCCATTCAATTCAAAAAAGTTACTAAAGCGTGCCTTCGCATCAAAACTATCATTTTAGTAAGTTTCAAGACTGCACTGCTGTTGTCTGTTTGCCTGAGCAGGTAGTTCACGGAATCCTGGTTTCGCCCCTGATCTACTATTTCGTGGCTTTCTAAACAGACGGATAAAACTTTTGCAGCACGCACAAGCTCGCTAATTGCACCAATAAATCAGTAATCCTTCGAACACTGAACAGGTGTTTGTTTTTTTAGCTTTGCTTTTTGTCAGGATTGGGCCATTCAGGACAAACGCGTTTTTTCGCATTTATTGTATTTTTTGTGCTTTGAAGTAGTGCAAGCAGTCTTGTTGTGGAACACATTTGGCGCTATTTAAAAAGAAATGCGTAAAAGGCATGATGGAAGCATAAAAGTTGGGGAAGTTTCGAATTTTAACAATTACGTTTTCCACTGCTTTCCATACGGGATGCAGTATTTACGGAATCACCAAACAAGCAATATCGTGGCATTGCAATACCCACAACACCGGCAACGCAAGGTCCTAAAGAATTTTGCCCAAATTAATAGAATGACTTAACACAATTTGAATTGTTTTAAAAGAATGTAGGCGTAGCAATGATGGGTTATGTGCAAGTGGATAATGGCACAAACTATGTACAAAGAAAGACTGAAATAAAATTAAAACAAAAAAACTAAGCAGAAATTTTTCAGTCCACTAAGTCTTATGCATCTTTATTTAGTTTTTCAGAATATTAAGGGATTTTGAGAATGTTCAAGTCCGCTCCGATAATCGGTACGGAGATATCACATTAGTAATTTTACTGGGATACTCCCATACAGCGGATAATGCAGCTATGTTGCCTGCGAACTTCCATTACGGGAGGTCGCATAAGATAGAACCACAAAGTACTGCGTGGCCCCATCTTATCAGTTGTTATTAGCTAATTATTAACTAATATAAAAAAAAAGCTTAAACACACGCCACAAAAACCATTATTTACTACGTCCAAATAACCAAATATGTTAATTATTATTTGAAAAATTTTATTATAAAATAAACAGTTGTTTAAAACGTTAAACCACTGATTGGAAAATAACCAGTATGGAATCCAATTCGTATCTGCATTCGTTCGTCAGGCAAGTGTGGAACACGAAACACTTTTATGCTTTCTAGAAAATCAAATGACATTTCCGCAATATCATGAGCATGCTGATTACCGTTACGAATCGGTAAACCGGAAACGCACAAATATCCGTCACCAATAGTTTCAACCTTTACAGAAAATCATCCAGTTCAATTAAGATTTTTGAATGTTTGCTTACAAACATCTAGTAGAAAATTTACTTATATTTAGTCTCTTTTTAATAATCGGTAATAAAAACCTTGTAAACACCATGGGCTTCAAT